TACCTTTATCAGTATGGCCGCAGCCAGTGCAGCGTAACCGGGGGGGGGGGGGGGGCACAAGGGGCGCGTGCCGCCTCATTAGATGCATGGTGCCCTATGGGCCCGAGAGGCCCTGCAGTGCCAATTGGCCGCTCAGGGTCCAAGCATGCCTTATTTCGACTGAGATAAGACCCGCAGGACTCGTGAGAGCACCTCACGGAGTCACGGCCTCCTGAGTCGCCACACATCACACATCTCCATAAGGGCCCCACTCCGGCTTCTGAGGGCCCTGTGCTGACCTCTGAGTGACCTTGCTGACCCATTAAGCGTCAGCTCAGCTTTAATTAGGGTCCTGACCCATACCCGCATGGAACGGCTCCACACCAGTGCCTCTGAGGGCCCATAACGGCGCCTGTGAGGGTCTCACACTGGCGCGTGTGAGGGCCCAACACCGCCAATCTGAGGGACTAACACCAATATTTCTTAAGGCCCTACATCGCGGCGGCCGCTCTGAGGGCCCCACACTGGCGCCTCTGAAGGTCTTACACAGGCGCATCTGACGGCTACCTACCTGCAACTCTGTGGGCCCCACACTGGTGACTCTGAGGGCTCCCAGTGACGCCTGAGAGTACCACGCCGGTCTCCTGGATCCCACAGGGCTCCTGAAGGCCTCTGCTGGCCCTTGCTGGTCTCTTGAAGACCCCTTGCCCCCATGCATGTGTCTCTGAGGAGTGAGGACTCCCACAACGATGCCTTTGAAAGTCTTCACCGGCGACTGAGAGGGCACCACACAGACACGCCTGAGGGCCCTACACCGCCACCTCTGACACACCAGTGTCTCCTGAGGTCCCACATAGGCGAGTCTGAGGGTCCCACACTGGCGCCTCTGGGGCCCCACACCAATGCCTCTGGCAGTCAGCCACCGGTAACTCTGTATGTCCTACACCGGTGACTCTGAGGGCCCCACCGGCGTCTGAGAGTACCATGTGCCGATCTCTAAGGACTCCACAGGGCTCCTGAAGATACTGCCGGCCCTCACTTGCCGGCCTGTGAAGGCCCATTGTTGGCATCATACGGCCCGTTACCGGCCTCTGAGGGCCCTTTGTCGGTCTCTGAGAGGGCCTACTGGGTTATTAAGCATTCGCATTTCGCACCAACCACTCCAAGGGCCCCACACACAGCCATCTGTGAATGGTGTGGGCTTAGCGCCATACCAGTGTCTGAGGCACCACAACGGCGTCCATGTGAGGGCCTCACACCAGCACCTTAGAGGGCCCACACCGGCTCCTTTGTGGTTCCTACACCAGTGCCTCTGAGGGCCCCACACCACTGCCTCTGGGGAACCCACATCGATACCTTTGATGGTCCCACGCCAGTACCTCTTAAAGGGACTATCCCACCTTCTAAAATGTTGTTAAAACCAGTTAAATTGTGCCCGACTTTATAGATTGGATGACCAGGAACACGGTTCTGGCATTTATTTTTCATTAAACATCTTAGGCTTCCCATATTACAAACACAAACTTTCAAATATGTGACGTCACAGCCCAAAATTACCTCCTTCCCCAGGCCACATTACTGTCATAAAGCTGATTCTTTTTACTCTGTAGGCACCACAACAAAGTTCAGACTAAGTTTTAAGCGATTTTTCAACGAACAAACCCATTTAAATCAGAATGACTAAACGAGGTGACGTCACACTAACGGTCGCTCCATGTTGAAGATAGGGCCTTGTACAAGGCCCATTTTCAAATGAAGGGAACGAATTTCTTCAACACCAAGAGGCCGCGGGGTTGCAACCTAGATAGATAGTGGTTTCTGAACCTCGCCGCAAACTTGGCTATCTCAACTCAAACCCCATGTTAAAGGTGGGATAGTCCCTTTAAGGTTCCACACCGGCGACCCTGGGTCGGCTCTTTACCTACACCAGTCATTCTGAGGGCCCCACCGGCCCCACCAATTTTCGTTAATTTCTGGCGCTGCCCGGGTGTTTGTCCCAAAAGCCTCCTCCTCCTGGATCTGCCAATGGGGGTCAGGTGTCCTACCATTTCTGTTTTTTTTTTTAAGAAAAAAAAATTCGTGTCAGGGCTATGACGAAAAATAAGTGGCCTAAATCCGATGAGAAAACAGGATTTGGGGGTACCTTAGGTTTGGCTCCGTGACCTGGTATGCCCCCCCCCGCGCTGACACCCTGGATCCGCCAGTGTCTGCTGTGCATGGTTCCCGGCGCTGTGTCATGTGTAATCATGTAATGTGTAAGACTTGGACGGCCCGTTGTGCCCACCCCAATCACCATGCGCCTCTGTGGTGTTGTTTTTTCTTCCACCGACACGCCTCCTCTGGGCGTGTCGGGTTCAAAGGGCGCACGCTGCTGTCTGTATATAAGGCCATGTTCCCATCGGTCGGCACTCTCAGTCGCCACCATGAAGCTGCTGCTGATCGCCTGCGTGTGCGCCCTGGCCGCGGCCGAGCAGCCGCAGCAGACCGTTCCGACGGCCGCTCAGCTGACGGTCGGCCTGACGCACCTGTACCGGCGCTTCCTGCACGCCGTCGCCCCCCGGCAGCTCGAGCTGCAGGATGCGCTCGACATCCAGTGGCGCAACGGCATGATGGCCGGCCCGCCGTTCCGCTCCCCGGTGAGTGAGCGGCCGACGTCGCCGGACAGGCGGCGGAAGCAGATGCAGTGAACCGAGCGGCATGTAGCTCATTCGAATTGACTTTTTGTGATATAGCATAACGTAAACGGGCTGCAATAGCACCCATACCTATTTTCAGTAAATTACAAACAATCCCTGACAGAGCTGCATTCATTATCGTCGTAGAGGTTCCTTAGCTTCCTTAGAAACAAAGCATGTAGAAATGGCTATCAGCCAAGGTCTAAGACATCTCATGACGGATACCTGACACATGTTTCCCATGACTTTGTTGGCGTACTTTCTAACCCTTTACGATCCGTTGTGCGACAGGTCCAGGCAACCTTCGGCGGTGTTGAGGCGCCGACCTTCTCCTTCGTGAACAGCATGATCACTCCCGGCCAGAAGGGCTTCTTCGGCAAGTGGAGCAAGCACGACACCTCGGATCTGCTCATGACCTACAACCGCGGCAGCCTGACCAAGGTGAGAAGCGTGGTCAGTGTCTCCTGGGCGCCATGGATACAACGAAACCCACTTACTGTCTTTTATACAAAGGATATGCAGATGTCCCCCGATAATATCCTATCTAAATCGTGATGGAAAGGACGTCTGAGCCTCCGTTGATGGGTCTTGTAAATTTCAATACCACTAAACAGTGAGACCGCCTACTAATCCACAGATGTTGGCCACATTTGTGTGTGACACCGTTTCTGTGTGTGGTTTCAGATCCACATGCTGACCGACGGCGGCATCCACAAGGAGGTGGTGCTTGGCAACCCTCTGCACAAGCACGGCGCCAAGTTTGCCGTCATGATCCCCAAGGGCACCTACTGCATCTTCGAGTCGCTCTCTGAGGACGACGCCGCCTTCGTCACATACGTCGCTATCCCCGGTAGGCAGAATGCATCGACACAATCCCACCTGAGGGCGAGGCTCTTTGAGCTTCTGTGGTACTGAACAAACCGTTTTCGAGATCACATTTTCACAGTTGATGTGCAACCGGTCCATATTTTGTGCATCGTAATGCTCGAGTTGATTCACTGTGCGTAGACCTACCGGACTCGGTATGGGTGGCTATTACATTTTGTAATTGTTTTGTGGTCATTTTGCGAAGCTGATTTGTCTAAGCGATTTGGCTGTCGTGGTGGTTGGGTCTGGTGATGCTCTTTTGCCCAGGTTCTGACCCATTCGCCCTCACCCTTCGACAGCCTGGAACCCGGCCAACTCGCACAACTACTCCCAGAAGGAGATGGAGGCCAAGTTCCCCGACTTCAGCAACATGTTCCACGAGCTCTCCAAGCCCGGCGTGCACGAGCACGAGCACGGCGACGAGGATTACGATCACGAGCACGACGAGCACGACCACGACGACCACGACGAGCACGACCACGGCCCCCAGCGCCGCCGCCTCCGCCGCTTCCGCGGCCGTGGCCGCCGCTTCGGCGGACGCCACTAAATCCCTGCTGACGAGACTCTGAGGCAGCACGGTCATCGACCGACGCAGGGCACTGGCGGACGGAACGAAGCCATGCTCAAAGCAAGTCACTTTGAAGTTGTTTTACAATATGACGCGATGTACATCCCATCATCGTTCCTTGTGCAATACAATAATTGTTTGACCACGAACTGTGTTTGACCTGCCTTTGTTTTCAACGACGCAAAGCTTAGAAAATTACTTTGAATTATTCTGCCTTCCTTGAACTTTCAACCGATAGCATAGGAAAGTACCTACTAGTAAGAAAAAGCACGGAGAAACTAAATAGCAAAAATAGCTTAAGATATAACAAGGAATCATTATAGAATATTTAAGACGGCTTCGGAGTCGTAATGACGCTGTTCCAACTACGCCTTCGACTTGAGCTTTTTTTGATCGGTTTCTTCTTCGACTCTGACTTCGATTCCGGATCAAAGCACTGCCATGGCCCATGGGATGCCATGGGATGCCGTGCCATCCTAACCCACACCGGTACGGAGGGGTTGATGCAACCCTCCTGAAATCGTCTGATATTATGGGAAGCCGGGAACTCGTAGCACTTACGGACCCGTCTTACTGCCTTGTAGGCATTCCCATTTCGACGATACCAACAATAGCTATAGTTAAGTAAGGCATCAGTAATATGGGAATTCTAACATTAAGACGAACAACGCTCTTTATCTATCTTTAATTAAGCTTCTTACCTGCAGTGAGCCGCAAGTGTTCAGGTAATGGGCAAGGGTTTTTAGTGATCCAAAATACAAACTTATGACAATTGCTTCTATCTTATGTGTGGAGCAACGCAAGAGTTTTTATATTGTGAGATCCGGGCGCATGATAACGTCGCTTTTCAGCTATTCTTGGCCTTGTCGAAGTGCAAATACCTATCGCGTAGTGAGCCGTGGGCTGTATGTATGTACTTACTCTTCAGCAATCAAAAGGACCATAAACGTCCGACGGTATTCTGTTGAAAGCAGATGCTCTACAGCCAAGCGCTGATGCATGCATTCATCGAGGAAACGAAGCTACGGAGCGAACAGCTTATGTAAGCAGCAACCTAAGTAGCGCAAACTAAACAGTGTGCCTGTAGTTACATCACGGTTATGTAACTGGAATGGCTGGTTACATTCAGACGCTTCTCGGCCTTCTTTCTTTGGTTTCATGTTTAGAGTAGTTATCAGGCTGCGCATAAATCAAAGTACCTATCAGCAATTTGCAATAGCAAAAACAAATGGCCTCGCTCGCTGTTTATCTGCGCTTGCAGCTGTCCTCGTTTGCTATACACCCTCTGCCGTCCTGCTGCGACCATAGGTCACGGCGAAGTGGGTATATAACGCGGGGGACGCCGCCGGTCGTCAGTCGCTGCCTCCGCTCCCAGTCATGAAGTTGGTCGTGCTGTTGGTCGCGCTGTCACTGGTCTCGGCCGAGCAGAAGGCGGCCACGCCTTTGCAGATTTCCGTGGCGCTGGGCCACCTGTACCGGCGCTTCCTGCACGCCGTCAGCCCCCGGCAGCTGGAGCTGCAGGATGCGCTCGACATGCACTACAGCGACGGCATGATGGCCGGTCCGCCGCACCAGGCGTCGGTAGGTAGCGCCGAGCGCAGCAGTACTTTCAGCAAAAACAATGTGCGGGTGGACAATGATCATGTTTCCGCTTATTTGGAGCTGTTTTGCATTGCAACGCCATGCATCTGGATAATTATATGTAGAGGATTTTTTCCGTTTTCATCCTTGGAAATTCTCCTTATAATATTACATCTGCTGGTAAATTTAGCGATGAAGTGAACAAACGCAAAAGCCAGCGGGACATTGAGTACAACAGAGGTGAGAGGACATCCAATATCCTCTATGATTAAAGAAAAGTAACAGGACACACAATATCCTCTAATTGTTGAGATAGGCGTAGGCCTATGTGTTGTCCAATCCTTATCTGTGTGACACAAACTGTTTGTCCGTTCTCAGGTGCAGGGAACGTTTGAGGGCCAGGAGCGGCCCGTCTACTCGTACATCACTAGCCTGGCCAACCCCGGTCAGAAGGGGGTCGCTGATGACGGACCCTGGGTGAAGCAGGACGCCTGTGACATCGTCATCGCCTACCACTACGGCGGCCCCATGAAGGTAGGTACGGGGGACGTCGCTTGGACTCCACGGCGCGCCACGTGCTGTGCGTCGGCTGGGTGGATTTTATTGGCTGGATTGTATTGTACTCGTACGGCTTGATAGGTCTCACTTTGATTTTTACTTAGTTATGTGTATTTCTTTCTCCATAATTTGTTGTGAAAATGCTTATTAATTCATTTTCAGAGCCACATCGAAGGCGTTTACAAATTCCACCACTTTGTGCGAAGTTTGTAAGATTAGAAATTTGGCTCGATTGTAACCATAACTGCTTAATGAAGCGATCACTCATCGCGCTGACGATATGCAGTATACAATACAGATACAGATAATATATTCATGACAAATCCATGGTGCATGGTTTTTCATTGGCACACGTCAAACATTTACAACACAAGTAAAAGACCAGGCATAAAAAGCAGCACTCAACCACTCGACCTGAGCTAACCATGCGCCTCACACTGTTCTTTCAATAGATGCTTTTTGAGCTGGCGCCGAAAGTTTCGCACGGTGACGTCAAACGGCAGAGAGTCGTACTCACGCACTGCGCTATAACAGAGCCGCCGGCGACCGGCTTCCGTGCGGATTCTCGGCAGCGCGTGGTCGGCAGCTCTGCGCGTCTCGTACGAGTGACGCAGGGTGTCACCGATGGTTTGTGCGATCGCTTCCGGCTTTCCAGTCGTAGTGACCCTGTGCACCAAACTGATGCGATGGTACTTAGCAAGGTTAGGGGCATTCAACCACTCCAAGTCGCACAGAACGTCACTGATGTGGTCGTATTTACGACGGCCGCTAATAACTCAAGCACCGAAGTTCAGCAGTTTCTGCACACGATGAATCTGAGTAGCGGTGCACGTACCGTATAGCGAGAAGCAATATCTGATAACGGAGTTCACGAGCGCTTCTACTACCACAGGCAGAGAGGCCTTCGGTATAACGTGCTTGGCGTGCATCAGACCGATTAGGACACCAGTACACTTAGCTGTCACATAATCGATGTGCGACCTGAAGCTGAGATGATTGTCCATGACTACTCCGAGATTTTTGACAACTCTAGAGTCCGGAATAACAGCACCCATGGCAGTCAGTGTGACAGGCGGCAGTCCTCGCAGCATAGCGGGGGTTCCTAGTACAAGGACCTGCGTCTTAGCGGTGTTTAGCTTCATAGTGTTTGCGCAGAACCACTGGAAGAGACACTCTAGCGCCTGCTCCATGCGTTGGATGACCTGTGCCAAGTCACGCTTTTTACCGCTCACAAGAAGTTGAGTATCGTCTGCAAATTGCACGATTGTGACACCGTCAGGCAGGTACAGACACATTTCGTTTGCAAACACCGAATACAACATACAACTTAACGATCCGCCTTGGAACACGCCAATTGTGTTTGACTTGACACTCGACCGCACGTATCCACCGTCACCACTGGCCATCTGCACCTGCTGAGTGTGTCCGCTTAGGTAGTTGCCGAACCACTCGGTATCTACCCCATACAGTGCGAGCTTATCCAGCAGTCTCCCGTGCGGCACAACGTCAAAACATTTGGAGAGGTCCAACAGCACCAGGATCGACACCTCTCCAGCGTCCATCGCCTCCAGCGCACGGTCGGTGATGACGCTGAGTGCCGTCTCGGTGCTGCGGCCGCTGCGGTAGCCATGTTGGGTGGTTGACAGGAGCTGGTTGGCCTCCAAGTACTGCACCAGCTGGCGCTGGACGACCCGCTCAACAACCTTCATTATCGCCGGCAGGATGGAGATCGGGCGAGTGTTTGTTACAATGTCCTTGAGGATCGTATTCTTGACTTGCGGTTCTTAGGTGGAGCACCTCGATTACATTTATGGCGCCGCTTTCGACCTAACTGAATGGGTGTTATTGTTTTTTTTTCTTGGCAGGTCCACATGATCACCTCTGCTGGACTTCACAAGGAGGTCATCATCGGCAACCCTCTGCACGAGAAGAAGGCCAAGGTGGTCGCTGTCGTACCCAAGAAGGCGTACTTCAACGTGGAATCGCTTTCGGAAGAGAAGGCAAACTTCCATTCCTACATCTCAGTGCCAGGTCAGCTTGCGGTGATTGGTGTTCAATGCCTGTTGCCATCAAAAGTATGATACGCTGTGGTCGTTTCATTGTTGTGCATGCGTTACTCCGATATGATTATATGCATTATTCTGCGGAGCGTTATGTTTAAGACGCTGAATGTAACGCGGTTTGTCTGTGGTCTTTCAACAGCTTGGGACCAGGCCGCCTCCACGCACTTCTCCAACCAGGACATGAAGACCAAGTTCCCGCAGCTGGGACAAATGTTCGACGACCTGGAGAAGCCTGGAGTGCATCATGAGCACGGTCATGACGAACACCAAGGGGACAGCGACCATGACGAGCACGCCCACCACGACGGCCATGGACGCCGCAGCCATCATCGGCACTAACTGCTCTGCTGCGGGAGCTCCGCGCAGTGGGGAAGCCGGTGTGACTTTCTTTTAAATTTTGTTTCCCCGCTAACACAAGGCTATAAACTGTGGGGGGGGGGCCTCCAGACTTGATGCTGGAACTTACTGGAGTGCCATGCTTGGGTGCAAACTATGCACATTGTAATAGCATTCAAGATAATTCGAACGTTATGTCATAACTGTTGACCACATTTCGCACAAAATATATAACGATTGTTCTTCGTTTGTTTTGCTTTTAATTGGACTGAGTTATAGTGACTGAGGGTAATGGATTTAGTCCTACAAAGTCATTTGTTGAATGACTTCCGTTTAACACTTTCTTATTTTCACTACTCGTATGAGTCGTATGTGGGGATACTACATCGGTTCAGTCTCTTTCTCTGTATTGTCTGTGACTCTGTACCGTCTCTTAACCCGCGCCCCGTAGGGCTATCGGCGGACCCTACCACTCGTAGGGGGGGGGGGGGGGGGGGCGTTTCGGCCCCCCCCTAAGATCTCGGAAATTTACCGGCCGATTTTCAAAATTCAAACGGCGTTCGATAGCCCCACCCGGTAACTACCTTTTGACCAAATTTCATTGACCTAGGTCAAACCGATGACGTCACAGGTCAGGTCAAAGGTCGGATTTTCACCGTTCACAGGCATTTCAAGATATGTGTTGTGAAATCGAGTAAAATGGTAATTTATTGAAAACCATCGATGCTACATTGTTCGTCAAACACATACTTTGCTATGTGAGGTCACTGACACCAGGTCAGGTCACAGCGAGGTCAGGTCACCGGGGTCACAATATGAAAGTGTCGTGTGATACATGTTTTATGGTCCATTTTACATGAAAAATGCGATTATGTGGGTTAGGCAGCCTTTGGGGCCAGCCTAGGTCACGTTTTGGTGAAAGTCAGGTCAAGGTCAGGTCAAATTAGGTCAAACTCCAAAGTTGATATTTTTGCATAAAATGGGTATCGATTCGATGCAGCTCGTCACGGGGAGTCTAATGGTGGTCTTCGTTTTGCTCTACGATGTCTAGAATTGCCAAAAATTGGGATTGAAAATTTGACGTCATCATTTCTGAACAGTTTTTTTCGCTATAACTTGGCCAAAAAACGAGGTATCGATCTGAAATTTGGTATGTAGGTAGAACATGGTAGGTACTATCACATGTATTTCGTTTTTTCGAAACTCAAAAAACTTTTTGGATTTTTGGGCTAATATATCCGAAAAATGCTTTTTTGATTTTTTGGGGTCAAATCTCTAAAATTTCAAAAATCAGAGATAGCAGTTTTGTAGCCCTGTCAATTCTACACCTTTTATGTTTGATCATTTTTCTGTATCTTCAAATCTGTAGGCCTGACAGGTCTTCTCCCGAAGGCCTTTTTTCGGTCGAAAATGGCAGAACATGACGTCATTCTGACGTCATTTGTGGCCAACCTATCATAGCTTTTGGAATAAGTTTTGGTCACAATGTGTAAAATTGATGCCCAGAGGGTTCCTGAAAGTTTGGTGGCGATATCTCCAGCCGTTTAGGAGATATCGACGGAAAAGGACAGTGGGGCGTTTCGCCCCCCCCCCTACGGGGCGCGGGTTAAAGGTAGTGTGCCACCTTTGAAAGATTTCCCATTTTATTTTTCCTAGGATAAGAAGGTTCTGTTTTTACATAATATCGCAAAAAAAATCAAAAATGGGCCTGGAATAGTGCCTTTTTCGCCAAAAAGTTTATCGGTTTTTCGATATGTATAACAACTGTAGTGGGCTGACCTGCAAACAGACGTCAGCAACAATCGCGAATGCGGCGCACATGTGACAATAAGCAAAGGTCATTATAGAGTTACGACGTACGGGAATGAGTTATCAGCTGTCTAGTGTCTAATCGTAGACAACACAATATCGAGCCTTAAACTGTTATCGGGGTTACATGAGCACAGTAAATACGTATTTAGCCGCTAATTCGAATTAGGAACGCATTACCGACTCATGTAGCCACCTGCTAGTACGAATCGGCGATCCGATCCGCGGTTACATGAGCAAAGCAAATACGTATCACGATCGGATTCACCGCTAATGCGAATCAGGAGCGTACTACCGACTCATGTATCCACCTGCTAATACGAATCGGCGGTCCGAACAAAATCCGCTGAGAAAAAGGCTTAGAAGCGAATAGGACCAAGATACGTATTACAGGAACTATTTGTTTGCAAAAAGAAACATTAAAATGCAAAATAATAGGTATTTTTTTCAATTTCTTCTTTTGAAATAATATTTAAAAAAATATGTCGGTATTTTGTCAAGTTTTCAACAATAAATATAGTGAAAACCAAATAGTAAATATCCACATAATTTCAGTTGAAACATTTTTCCGACAGCACTACAGACGAATCAAGAGAGGCAATTGCCCAATTAGTCAAAGCAAGACAACTTTATGTTCAACTTTTTTTTGTTAAGTTAATTGAGAATGTTTTGAGCAGATTAAATGCAAAAAAGACATAAGATAATAAATTTTTAATTTAGTCACCTCTATTGCTACGGAAGTGCGCCACATTTGTATGCTATTCCGTTTGTAATGCGCATCGGGCCGAGAGCCAAACTAGATCCGTTTGACGTCACTGATACGAATTTGCTCATGTAGTCGGTGCACTGAATGCGTTCTTGGGGAGCTGATGCGAATTAGCGATAGTGCGTATTTGGAACGGATCGCTCATGTAACCGAAACGTCCGAGGCACACGATTCGGGCCGTATTTCACAAGAACTATTCTTTGCTGACTGGAAGCGTCAAAATGCAAAATACTAAGCATTTTTTTATTGGCTGCCTCGTAGAAAATAACAAAAAAATGTTGGTATTTTGGTTTAGTCTTTGCATGTAAAATAAAATGAATGAAATATTTTGATAGATAATTTTTTTCTGACCACCCTGCTGTCGCTGCATGGCGAATCAGTGCCCACTGACTTAAAACAAGAAAACTTTGTTTTCATTTTTTGATTTCATGTTAATTTTAAATGTTTTTGAGCCTATCAAATGATATAATTATTTAAAATTTAGCTCAGTCGCCCCGGTAAATGCCGCAACTGCGCCATGACTGTACGCTAATCCTATTCCGTTTGTGATGCGAATTACCGGCCGTCGAGGAGTCAGCCCGGGTGAGCCAAACAAGATCCGTTTGACGTAGATAAAACGAATTAGTCTCATGTAACCGGTGCCGTAGATCCGTTTGTGGGGAGCTGATGCGCATTAGCGTAGTGCGTATTTGGAACGGATCGCTCATGTAACCCCGGTATGTAAGCCTGTATTGGTATTGTTTCTTTTATTTGGCTGTCGAACATTATTTATGGTTTGAAATATGATTTTATGTAAAATAATTGATATGAAAAAGCCGTCTCTTAAGTTATGACCCCATTTCACCACACGCAAGTGGCAGAAATGACAATGATCAGCTGACGCATTTTTATTGGCCGAAGTCAGAGCGCGCGGCCTGACGCACCACCACCGCACCACAAAGTATGAGCAGAAGCCGCGCCCAAAGCCAGGGCCCCGGTAACGTGAGGTAGCCGACTCGGGGCAGCGTGCGCTGACCCAAGCCGGGGCCGCAGCTTTGGGCGCGGTCTACCGCATCCCCGCGGGCAGCCGCGGGCTATCACATGACACCGGGAGGACGCGCGGCCCCGGCTTGGGTCAGCGCACGCTGCCCCGACTCGGCTACCTCACGTTACCGGGGCCCTGGCTTTGGGCGCTGTCTACCGCACCACCTAACAGGCGTGTTCGAAACCGCAGGAGATGATGATGAACGGGTTTATCGAAACTTGATTGGATGAGCATATCGGTAATAGCGATTTCAGTGTGTGCATTTATTGTTCATAGTGGTGTGAAATGTGGTTGGGGTACGACCGACAACCCGTCGGGGCGAATTTCGCACTGGGGTACTCAAAATTTGAAGAATTTAAGACGTTTCCATGAGTTTTGAAGGTATGGATAAGTTCTAAAAATCCGGTTCTCCTTATCTGGGCCATTAACTCCATACGGTCCAGGAAAGCTGGCACACTACCTTTAACCCTCGCCGGCCGAGGGGGAGGGGCGGTTGCCGCCCCCCATATGTTTTTTTTTGCAATAGCTCCGAACACGCTGGCGATAGAGAGCTGAAACTTGGCATAACTGACCTGTGATTCAAGCCGGATCTTTTGACACCAACCGCATTTTTGGGTCAGGTCAGGTCACTGACCTATGACGTTATAAGTGAACCTCTGCACGGTCTTCAGATGTCGCAACTTCGCAACGCCCTCACTGCCAGAGGAGATGTCACAGGGAAATGAAACTTGCAGGATCTAGTATCCATTATGAGTCTCACAACTTGTATATCTCGGATTTTTCCTAAAGGTCATATGAGGTCAGGTCATTTTCGTGACCTCACCATTATAAGTCAATGGGGAAAAATGAAAACTGCTATTCTGGCGCCGGGAACGATCTCCAACTATCTCAAGCACACAGAATCGTGATTTGATGCACTCCTTGCAAGGTTAGATGCGTCACTTTTGCAATGTTGACCTTGCGTGACGTCATTTATGATGTCATCAAGGTCATATTAGTTTTTCGTCAATACCTCCCGATCAAATCGAGCTAGCGAGTCATGAAAGCCACCAATGGACTCAGGAAGACCTGCCGAATCGAATGATATGCGACATGACGTCTTTCGGCCAACGTCGTGACCTGGGGGTGCTGACCTGACCGTGACCTAAGGTCAACACCCTAAGTTGACCTGACCCAAACAAAAAGTATATCATTCGACGCGCCTGAGCGAGGATAACAAGATGCTGCCAAAATGGCGGCTCTGCGGCCGTTTTTTTGCAAAGTTATTCACCAAAAACTGAGCCGTAACCTGGGGCACTTGACCTGCCCTCAGAGGTCACCGGTTGACCTAGGACCTTAAAATCGGGTACCTACCAATATCTACGTCTCGTAACGGCGCACACGTCTGTTTTTTCCGCGACGCGCTAGCTCCACCAGGGGCGAAACGGCGAGGGGAGAGGTCGTACTCAGTTCGTACCCCCTCCCCTCGGCCGGCGCGTATGTAGAAAACCAATAGGTCTGGCGAGAGTTAACCCGCGCCCCACTGGAGTCCGTGAAAACGCGCCCTACTGGGGGAGGGGGGCTACTCATAGCCCCCCTCTTAACTCCGAAACTACTGGGCCGATCGTCAAAATTCAAACGGCATCTGATAGCCCCGGAGAAACTGCCAAGCGAAACGTAATTTCATTGACCTCGAGGTCACCGATGACGTCACAGGTCAGGTCAAAGTAAAAACTATCGATGTTTGGCTTGTTCACCTTTTGGGCTCTGGCTGCCGTCTTACAAGTCAGATCAGACTGATTTTTGGTTTACACACTCGTGAACAGATGCTTCAGATACCCTGAGGGTACCAAACTTGTACTTTGATTTTCAGGTCAGGTTCAGGTTATCACAGGTCATGGAAATCTGATATCATAAGTCGGTCACGTGACACATGTTTTATGGTCCATTTAGGCCATAGATATCGAATTCGATATCATTTATGTCATTCAAAGTCATTTTGAGTTGAATTTAGCTTCGGTCAGGCCACTTCCAGGTCATAAAAGGTCAAATCTTTAAGTTGACATTTTTCAACAAAAAAAAAAAACATGTCTATCGTATGCAGTTTGAGCTCAGGAACACGATGGTGCTATTTATATCGGTGTATGATGTCAAATTCGTACTGAAAAATTGATTTCATTTTTTTTTAAATTGGTATAATGCGTAGTTACTTGGCCATCTTTGAATATACGTGACTAAAATTTGCTAGAGTAAGTAATAAGCATGTGTTCGATCATGGTATATTTTGCTTGCTTTTTCGACAAGCCAAAAAAATGAGAGGTAAAAAAAACAAATTTTGAATTTTAATATAGGTATATAATCTTCAGAATTTTCTAAATTATGAAAATCCAAGACCATTTTGATAGCGCAGTCCATACTGAGTCCTCTTATGCAAAGAAATTGGATCTAGCTTAAAAACTGAGCTCTTGGGAGCGATTCCCGTGGTTCAATGTTTTGCGTCGAAATCGGCCGACATGACGTTACTCTGACGTCATTTCCTGCCGACCTATGATAGATATGAATTTCAAATTTTAACAAAAGGTGTTAAATTGATGCAGCCGAAGGTATTTGAAGTTTGGCGGCGCTACGTCAAGCGGTTGAGAAGTTATCGCAGAAAAACGGGAGGGGGCTAGCCCCCCGCCCCAAGTGGGGCGCGGGAAGTGTAATGAAAATTCAGTATTCACTATTCACTATTCAGTGCTACAGTGAAATATTATTCAGTGCTATAGACTGCGCTCTTCGATCACATTCGGATTCCAAAGATATTGTCATGCAGATTTACATGTATTTGTAGCACCTCACAACGCACTTATCAACCGACAAAAATGAGCGTTTAAATTGAACAGGATTCACAATTTAACCAGCAAAAGAGTTGCACTCATTGAACAGTTATCCTTTAGTAGAAGAAGTTGCCCTTGCCCTGACGACCGCGGAAGCGCCTGCGGTATCCGTGATGCTCGGGCTCGGTGTGCTCCTCATTGTAGTGACCGTGCTCCTCGAAATAGCCATCCTCGTGGTGCACCTCGGGCTTGGAGAGCTCGTGGAACAGCTCGGTGAAGGCGGGGAACTTGACCTCCATCTCTTTCTCGGTGTAGTAGTGAGCATGAGTCGGGTCCCAGGCTGCGAGGAACGAGAAAGGCGTGTCAGCGGCTGAGCTGATTTAAAACCATAGTGTTGGAGGCCGCGGGAATTGCAAACCAACCAAACTTCTTTAGATACCAAAACAAAATCATTTGATGAATGGCGATGCTTCCTCGTGCTTTGCTGTGCACTTCAACACATACCTATTTTACAGGCAAACTGCTTAGTTTTCTTTCCACGCTAGAACAACGGTGCTGGACGCTTCAACTTATGCATCTTGCCCAAGGCAACTTATATAATCATCAAAATAATATTTGTCTTTCTAAGATGGAGATGATAATCGTTCCGTTCTCACATCGGTCAAAAGCAAAAAGGAAAATGTACTAATACGCAGGTCGAAATCCTTCCTTACCGGGGACGGCGACGAAGGAGCTGAAGGTTGACTCTTCCTCCGAGAGGGACTCGAAGATGCAGTACGTGTTCTTGGGCACCATGACGTTGAACTTGGCGGAGTGGTCCTTGTGGTAGATGGGGTTGCCAAGGATAACCTCCTTGTGAATGCCACCGGACGTCAGCATGTGAACCTGAGAAGGGAGAGGAGATTGTTGAGAAATCCTATATTCTTGCAGTCATTTACTCACGGAAGTAGTCGTCGGATATGTATCTAGGGATATAACAAATGTCAAGTAACTGAGCATTTGAGCAAGGAAACGCTGTTAGCGTTTTGGAAACGGTGCCAGGTGCCAGTGACACATGTCATGTAAGTAATAAAGTTTTCACTAGTGTCCGTTGTGTCCTGTGTACCCTGTAAGGACATGGCTCTGAATGACGGCCTGGGTGCCCGTTTACCAGAGCTTGTCCTGCATCGTCGCGGAACCACAGCCTAAACAAGTGGGCCTCCGTCCACTTCACTGTTATGAATCTATGCCGAAAATTTAGGACACCGCAGTAGAATGCCCATTCAGTCTGTTCGATGTTTTCCAGCCAGAAACTGTCACTTAGAGTTTACTATAAAACTTCTTTTCAATACGAAACAACGATACAGTGCTATACATGTAACTAAGAGAGAGCGTCAGAGCAAATTTGGGAGTCTTCTTCCCTGAGAAGCGCGTCCGTTCTCTCACCTTGACGGAGCCGCCGTAGTGGTAGGTGATCAGCAGGTCCGACGTCTCGTGCTTGGTCCACCGGCCAAAGAAGCCTTTCTGACCCGGGGTGATCATGTTGTTCACGTAGGAGAAAGTCGGCTCCTCGACGCCATTGAAGGTTCCCTTGACCTGTCGTACGGCAGAAGGACGAAGCAGTTAAGAACATTTGCGTTATTATGGCAAACAAGCGAATGAGGCCAATGCACAATAAATACATGTTTTATGCGCCAGTAAAGAGAAGACATAAGCAGAGACACAGCCTTACGCCCTTGAAATTCAGGATTAACCCCTGAATTTCACGGCACACATGAACGAAACCCCGTTCAGTCCAGAACAGCAAGTCCGCATTCTAATTTGGGTTTCCAACTTACCGGAGACACAAAGCGGGGCCCGGCCATTTTGCCCTCGCGCCAGTGGATGTCGAGCGCATCCTGCAGCTCGAGCTGCTTGGGGGCCACCGTGTGCAGGAAGCGGCGGTACAGGTTGGTCAGCACGCCGGCCAGCTGCGGCGTCGACGGGACGCCCGGCTGCGGCTCGGCGGCCACCAGCGCACACACGCAGACAAACAGGAGCAGCTTCATGGCGTCGAGTGAGAGGAGTGCACCACTGCTCCGGGCCGTGGGGTTATATAGTGAGCGGGCCCCGATCTTTGGCCGCAGCTCAGCCCACACGCCGGCCTGTTGTCATGTGCATAAAGTACACATCGTGATGGCATCCGTGTTGGTCTGCGTTTGATCAGGATTTTGGCAACAGTCAGCTCTCATGATGCCTGGTTTGCCATGAACATGCGATAATGATCAGACCACGGGGCTCCCGCGGGGCTGGTTTCTATGTAAACAACGTGCAAGATGCAGCCAAAATGAGCATTCTTATTAAGAGACTCTCTTCGCTTTTTCAATTTATCAGTTTTATCAAGTGGATATTGCACGTTGATTCTCAGCTCTGCTCTGTATTACCTACGTGTAGTTTTTCATTGTAAATTGTCTATGTGAACGGGATATCTTTAAAAAATTGCCGACACGCCAGTGAAAAAGTTTAATCCTGACCGAAAGCTATCAACTTCAAACACAGAAGCTGTAGAACCCAAACTGACGGAACATATTTGAAAATGGATAAGTGTTGTAGCCTGTAGGCATTCAATGGCAAATGATCTATAACAACACCGTTGCAAAAATTTTTTCTTTTTATTACTGAGATGAGCTTACGATTCACATTTATCAGCCCTGATCACCCAGATGGCTGAATCTAGAGGCAAAAATCTTACCCCTAGACCAGAATACTCTCCATTTATCAGCTACTAAACAGGCGCGGTGTCAATACTTGTGACGTTGCTGATTTATGAAGTTACTGTGGTTAAAAAATCAAACGATCTCATTATGAAGCATTTAAAAGTAGTGTGAAATGTGTCTTTCATTTTTTTTCGCTAAAGCTTCGTCTGATGATCATCTGAATTGCCCTGTAAATGGAGAATAACTATTTGCTAAAAATCTGATTGTGCCTGCGTTTGCTCAACATACGCCTTATAAAACATTTCCTTTACATAGAAAGTTATACCTATCATATCTATGTACAGGGTGTCTCAAAAAAGTGTCACGGTTTTGAACATCTCCTGTTTCGTAACCTTAAGGCCTACATCATTCAAATTTTCTAGATTTAGTGGCAACGTTTTGACATTTTATGTGGTAAAATTACAAGTTCCTAGGCAGAATAGTTTTTACACTAGAACAAAAAATAAAAAACTCAGTTTTCGTGCTGTAGGAGATGATAGGTCACAGCCTGCCGTCGATCCTGAAGAGTCTGGGCCCCTTTCGCCTGATCATGAATCCAGAAACAAGCTCAGCAATACATTTTTGAAACCTTTATAAGTAAGAACACCGTGTACAACTGCCGTCTGGAGCACAGCAGCAAGCTGAAGCACAGCCACAAACATGGTCAACGATCAACACTGATTTTCAGACGACGCGAGATTCAATGCCTCGACAGTCGACGGCTTCATCTTTGATGACAAAATCCTCTACTCGGTTTTGTTCCGAAACACATAAAGAGAAGAAAGGATAGCTGATGGACAGTTTTAAAATTCCTACTCAAACGTGCACAGCTTCTGGGTGTGCGCAATGTGACAGTGTGTCACAAGTCCTTTGCACGGTGTCAGCGACTGCAGCTTTTGACGAAAGAGTCAGGCATGGCAACGGCGCTGTTCTGAGACTAATGGGTGATTGCAATTCCATTGTCTGTTTTGCGTGACGTTTTTGGTCTCTAATAGTTGTAGATAATTACTGACGAGCATGTTGCTGGATGCAACAAGCAAAAGCCGGAGTCTTAGCGAAATCGTCGGCAGACTGTGACGTATACCATCTCCTATAGCGCCCAATATTGAGTTTTTTATTTTTTGTTCTGGTGCAAAAACAATTTTTCTTAGGAACTTGAAATTCTGCCACACAAAATGTCATAATATTGCCACTAAATCTGGAAAATTTGAACGATGTAGGTCATGTAGTTAGGAAATGGGAGATGTTCAAAACCGTGACACTTTTTTTGAGACACCCTGTACACTGTACAGCTGCGAGGCGCAAGGGAGCGAGGATGTTTCACGTGACCAGAATATGGTTCATCAGTAACAAATATATTGGAAGCTTAGATATGTTTCATTTATGAAAGGGCGTGCCACTTACTACACCGCCTTTCCTTTTTTATTCATGAAGAAAACTCTAGCAGGTATAACAGACCACAGCCTACAGGTCAAACCCCCTTCACCATGATACAGTCGCCATCAGCGCAGGATAATGGCGTCAGGACGGTGCCTGCAGCGCGATATCAGTGACGGCGGGCCGCGGCTGTCCCCAGGTCTAACGTCGGGCAGTGTGGCCGTGGTGCCCCGGCTTGGCCAGGTGGTGAAACAGTTGCGCGTGCTGAGGGAAGGTGGTCGCCATCTCCTCGGCAGAAAACTCCTGGTGATGCTCCCTGGACCACGCTGCAAGAAAGATAGCAAGTCGGTCATCAACTGTATCATTTTATAACGCTTAAGCTTAAATTTCTGCTAGCTCACCTCATCCGAAGTGTGATTGTGTGATTGTGTGCACTGTACATATATTCATCGTTGGAGTCGTTCCCTAAACACACCAAAACGGCCTTCTGTTAAAAATCGCTCGTTTCCTCAAGATGGAGACAAATTGTAGGTACCCCGTACATTTTCAGGCCACTGTCCAAAGTCACGTGTGTGAGTGAGCAATAATCGCCTGCGCGTAGCGTCAGATGGTCCTGTCACCGGCACACACCTGGTATGTCAATGTAGGAGTGGAAGGTGGCCTCGTCTCCCGACAGCGACTCGAACACGCTGTAGGTGGCCCGTGGCACATACACCAGGAACCTGGAGCCCTTGTGGTCCAGCGGGTTCCCCATCACCTCCGTTCTGTAGCTGCCGTCCTCGGAGATCAGATGCACCTGCGGTTGAAACGAATAGTGTAAACTGCAAACTGTGTGGAGAAGGCAGTGAACGAGATGAGGAAGATTGCCATCAATGGGATCGCAGTTCCAAACAAAAACGGAACAAAATCTCTTTCAAGCTTTTGTTTCTTCCTACCATTTTTCTGTAAAACCAAGATCTTCGTACATTCATTTGTGAACAATGAACCAATCTCAAAAAGATAAATGAATACAGCTGAACAACTAGCCCTTTTTCGTTAGCCATTGTCAGTTTTCATCGCCTAGCGCTAGTTAACCACCACGTAGCAGACAAGTAAGAATGCATTATGCAACTTCGCCAATCACCACTGAACCCCGAAAACTAACTATTGACCATGCAAACTGATTCAGTCTGGAAAAGTGCGTCTCGGAGTGGACCATACCTTCACGGCTGCTCCGTAGTGGTACATGAAAACCACCTCGGAGACGTCGTTCTTCACCCAGCTCCCCTGGCCCAGGTGGCCCGCCTGTCCTGGGTTGATCAGAAAGTTGATGAAGGAGAACGCAGTTCTCTCCTTGCCGTCAAAAGTGGCATTGATCTGTTGGAGGGGCAACAAGCAAGGTAACAGCGAAAGCATGGTACAAGAACATGCGCTCGTTCTTGCGCAGTGATTAGCAACTAATCGCACCATCATTTTGATGGGCGATGATATGGGTATTGAGAAGCTTTCCTTTAATCAAAGAATTTGGATCAGGAAAGGCCATGAATATGAAACACGAATGAACAAAACTATCGGAATAATCCAAAGATAAGGTATGCATAGGATATACTAGCTTAGCCCGCGCCCCACTGGGGTCTGCGTATAACGCGCCCTACTGGGGGGGGGGGCTATTCATAGCCCCCTCCTAACTCCGAAACTACTGGGCCGATCGTCAAAATTCAAACGGCGTCTGATAGCCCCGGAAAAACTGTCGAGCGAAACCTAATTTCATTGACCTCGAGGTCACCTATGACGTCACAGGTCAGGTCAAAGTAAAAATTATTAGCATTTTGGCTTCTTCACGTTTTGGGCTCTGGCCGCCTTCTTACAAGTCAGATCAGGCTCATTTTTGGTTCACACACTCGTGAACAGATGCTCTAGATACTCTGAGGGTACCAAACTTGTACTTTGATTTTCAGGTCAAGGTCAGGTCATCACAGGTCACGAAAATATTATATCATCCGTCGGTCACGTGACACATGTTTTATGGTCCATTTAGGCCAAACATTTCGAATTTGATGTCGTCTGTGTCATTCGAGGTCATTTTGAGTCAAATTTAGCTTAGGTCAGGTCACTTTCAGGTCAAAAAAGGTCAAATTTTGAAGTTGAAATTTTTCAACAAAAAAGCTGTCTATTGGATGCAGTTTGAGCTCAGGAACACGATGGTGCTATTTATATTGGTGTACGATGTCAAATACGTGCTGAAAAATTGATTTGAAAAATTTATAATTGTGAATTTTTTGCAATAATGCGTATAACTTGGCCATTTTTGAAGATATTTAGCTAAAAGTTGCTAGAGTTAGTCATAATAATGCGTTCTATCACATATATTCCGTTTTTTTCGAAAAGTCAAAAAAAAAGAAGAAAAAATGCAAAAATATAAATTTTGAATTTTATTATAAAAATTTTTCAAAATTTTCAAAATTTCGAATATCCGAGATAGCAGTTTGATAGCGCAGTCTATTCTGAGTCCTCTCATGCAAAGAAATTGGATCTAGCTTAAAAAATGAGCTCTTGGGAGCGATTGCCGTGGTTCAATGTTTTGCGTCGAAATCGGCCGAACATGACGTCACTCTGACGTCATTTCCGGCCGACCTATGGTAGGTACGAAGTTCAAATTTTGACACAAGGTGTCAAATTGATGCAGCCGAAGGTACTGATAGTTTGGCGTCGATACGTCAAGCGGTTTGGAAGTTATTGCAGAAAAACGGGAGGGGGGCTATAAATAGCCCCCCCAGTGGGGCGCGGGTTAATCGTGCTGCAGGCTATCCATCGACTGCAATTGATGTGTGCCATCATGTCCTCACCATCAAAGAAGCACTAGAAGACAACATTTAACACGCGCAGTGGAAGGGTTGCGAGTACTACGCCCAGTGGAAGGGGGGGGGCGGATGTCGCCCCCCCTAAGATCTCAGCTCCCACTGGAGCTAGAAAGACAAAATTTGGAGGGTAGGTGCGGGCCATGGGGAACTCTATTGTGTGTGAATTTCGTGACCCTAGGTCAATATCTTCAAGGTCAAATGAGGTCAAATGTGGTCAAATCTGCCATATTAGCGACTTTTTTGCGTTTACACGCCGATAACTCAAAAAGTTACCGGCCGATTTTTTTAAAACTTTCACTATATGAAAGAGCAAACATTTGTGAGTATGTATGGTGAATTTCTAGATAATCCAACAATAAATATGGCAGTTAGAAGCCTGCTAAGGGTAAGATGTCACCGGCTGAAGCGGCATCGGCCGACGCGGGAAACGCGGCAATCACAATTTTGTGTTTACACACTCATAACTCAAGTTGTTACCGGCCGATTTTCAAAATTCTTTGACCATATGATTGCTTTTACATTTCTCAGTCTTCTCACCGAATTTGACGCGAATCGAATATAATCAGCGGTAAGGAGCGCGATGTAAAGACGGAACCGTCCCGCCCCGGCACAGTCTACAATAGGGTTGGGACCTATCTGCATGCTCTGTATGTTTTGGTAAAATAAAAAGCTCAGAATTTTTAATGATTTAATTTAAAATCACTTTGTTAAAAAAATGCCTAGTTAGTTCAGAAATTGATTATTTGTGGCTGAAAACAACTTGCTTCTGATTGGTCGGGCTAATCATGACGTCACATGTAGGTATATAACTGTCTGTATATTTGGCGCAGTTGAGACATACATTTTCTATGTATTTTCCTATGGTAAATCGGAGTGATTGGTCGTGTTTTCAGTGTCTCTTTATTTTGCGCTGGTATTGCGTGGCTAAGAAGTTTTATCAAGAATGGCATATACTAAAATGTTCCTTTAATAATGGAGCTTCAATATCTGTGAGCTTTATTGGCAAGCGAAAACTGATTTCACTGTTATTCTATCTGGAAATTACTCATTCTTTTAGGTCAATATTCAAAATATTTTACGGGAACAAGTTGGCACTTTTCTTGATTTTTGCACTCAAATCGCGTGCGATTCAACTGTATTGGAACTTGCAAAGAAGCTTGGTGATTAATTAACTGTGTTGTTATGGCACTGTTTGCAAAGCATGGATAATGAAACTCTGCCATGCCAAAGACTTAGCTACATAGCAATGCCTCAAGTAATACGCAGGAGGGACAGAATTCAGAGTCCGATCGAGAAGAATCGGTGCAAATGCTACGAAGACCAGGCAGCTCTGATACAATAGCTAGTCGTCTCACTACTCTCACTCCATTAGACCAGCTGATTCCTGACAGCACCGACTCGGATGCAAAGATGGAGCTCATCTTCCAAGCCAGAAACCAGTTCTTTGATGGAAGATGTGATGCTGCCTCTGTCTCTGCTTTGTTGGCCACTTTGGACGGGGCGGAGCTCCGCTCCTTGCGTGAGCGGTTATTCGCCTGTCATCCAGAAATAGTTCCTTCGTTTGCTGGCCGTTCCCTGATTAGGTGCAATACGGGGAGCTGTAATCAGGGAAGTAACTTTCCATATGAAAGGGGTGCAGGTGCACCCCCGTCCCCCATCCACTAGAAGTGCACCCCCATAGGCTAAGCGGCGCCCCACACGCCGCCCCACACGATTAGCTCTAGAGCAGATGGCGAGTGTGATTCCTCGGCTGCATTCCATCTCGGCGTCGTGATGCTTGTGGGCTTGGAAAGCGTCCAGTCGTATGTAGGGTAGTGTAGGGGTAGGGTTGAATTCAATAAGGTCCTTACATTTGAAAGGTTTGAACAACCCGCAATCAGCACAACATACCACAAGTTTAATAAAAAACTACCAAACTCCGCCCAACTAATATTAATAAACATTACAGCCAAACTAATGGCCTAAATAAAAATATATCTCAAATCCTAACAGTTATCGCGGGTGATGGCGCCATGAGTTGCTATTATCCAAAACAGATGCAAATAAACATGTTTGTATGTCCTATGTATGCTTGTTTTAAAAACGTTGCAGCGGCGCTGGGAACTGCAGTCTTAGATCTGGGTATGTTTGGCATCTGCAACTCTTCATATACCTACACATTAACCCTATTTCGGACGGGGAGACCTTTCAGGATTTTCTTGTACAATTGCCAAACGCCGCGAGACATTCAGCTCAAATTTGGTGACTTTTCCTAAATGCTCATTGCGCACATCTCAGCAAAAAAAAAAATGCCGGGTCAGGTCAGGTCAGGTAACCAGAGCGGGTTTGTTGACCCCACCTCAGAAAAGTTTGCAAACACGTCAGAGCTTGAGTTTTTCACGAAGTTATTTCCTTTCATCAAGTCTTCAAAACAGTACCTGCAGTATGTGTCGTTTGTATATCTCAGAATTTTTTATCTGTGACCTGAGGTTAGGTCAGAGTCGTGACCTTTACATTGCAAGCCTATGGAAAAGTATTGAAATGCGACCTGCACCTCGAGTAAACGAGTCAAAACCACCCAATTCTTTAAGAATTATGACAAATTATCTTATCTGTAATGATCCAGGTGCCATTTACTGACAGGGACACCGGAGAGGGTTATCTGAGCCGAGATCATGTGAGGTGATATCTACCATACATCAATGCTCACAATGCTTACAATATTGACAATGCTTTTGCTTACAACACTTACAATACTTACGATGAGACCAGCAAGCACTCTGCCGTTACAGTTCTAACTTCTGTTTCGAAAAACGACGTTACACACATTCGCTGCCAGCATAACATGTATTGTTTGACAGTAACAAAATACAATTGACATTTGAACCCCAAACGGACCGCCATCCACTCAAATTTTATAACCCTGACCGGTCAGGGGGCGAATGGAGGTCATTTCCTGGGCATTACACTCAGCCCTTGCACAAAATATCTCACCTCACAGTGATCATTACAACAATAGCACCGACTTGATAGTGGATTTCAAAGTACTTGCATCAGTTCTTCCTGCTATTGCAGACGATCATCTCCTCAGGGTAATGTTGTTCGGGACATGAACGAAGATCGTTTTCGGAGTTTCATAAGTGCTACTGCAACAGCCTGGCACAAAACAGGACTTGTACGCTCTTCTCTGCACTTTGCCCTTCAGTATATCACAAAAGAATTGTTTAGAATCCATCTTACGCTTCTTTCACAGTCTCCCTTGCCACCGTAGCTTGCACCGTAGGGCGTAGATAGATTGCTGTTGCTGGTAAGTTAAGGCACGGTAGATAGAAATTACCTCGGTTCTCAACGCCTTAAGTTATTTTCATAAAAAAGAACAAATAAATGATCAATAAGATGACAGGAATGTAAACATTTTAATCGTAAAGTAGTCCAAATATTGGAATGAGCTTTTGCTTTTCAGTATCCTCCGATTCATCATCTTTATCATTTGAAAATTCGAGGTACATAAAATGTTTATCACGCGCTCATGTTAAGTGGGAATATAGTACACGGCAGACACATCAATTTTTGACACTGAACATTTCATCCGTAAATGTTTTAGCATAATTTAAAGTTAAAAACAGCGCGAATGGCAGAGTGAAGCAAACAACATCTTTCACCCATTGATATAACATGTAATCTGTGGTGCGCCAGATGCGCCATTATTTGTCAACCGCAGAAGGTGACATGTGACGTAACAGCATCAAGAGCATCTTTTTTCAAGAGTTTTTCAAAACAAGTTTCCTATCTTTCTTCCCCCATTTCTCTCAGCTTATTGATTTTATGAGGCAATGGTATGCACCATAAATTCTGTGAAAATAGTTTGATCATTTTCATGCATTCTTAAAAAATCGAGTTCCCAACCCCATTCAGGCGGCGCTTAACGGCTAGCGCCGGCCGCCGCGCCGCCGCGCCGCCGCGGCGGCACGATGTTTGACTTTACACCGCTATTATTAGAAAAGTTGTGAACCGATTTTCTTACTTCTTGCACGAGAAGATCCGCAATTCAATTCTGGACAGGTAGCCGAAATTTCACATTGATATTGTGCTTGCGGCGCGAGTTATTGGCGAAAAACAGGAGGGGTGGGCGAAATCCGCCCCCCCCCCTTCCACTGCGCGTGTTAAATAAGGTATATAAAAACTGACTGCGGCTGTTTTGGCACTTGTCAACGGTGAATGGTGATGTGGAAAGACGTTTCTTTGATTTTCGATCTTAACACTTCCAAAGTTATTTGCCTTTGACTAACTAAACCCGTGCCCCGTTGGGATCTGGTATGTTTCATGTCCTGTTATGTTCTGTTGGGGGGGGGGGGGGCAGAGGGTCTCTCCGGAGCCAATGGTCGGATCAGATGAAATTCAGACGACATTCGAAAGATCTAAAGATGCACAATGCACTATCTCGGTGACATCGATTTTTGACCTCTGGCGTCACAGAAAGGTCAATCAAAGTCAAATATGCTCAATTTTTAATGACGAGACTCGGTTATAAAAGTAAATCTTAATTTCTAAAATGAGACTAAAAAGGATGAACAATGAGCATAGTAGATCCCGCCCATGGACGGTCATCTAAATGGATGATGACCTGTGAGGTCACGAGAAGGGTCAGCCTCCTTGAGCAATCACAAGACACATGCCCGAATCGTATGGAATGACATCTGGATTGTATTAGAGCAGCTATGAGGGCAGCTCATACATTTGCAGCCACAGTTATCTCATTGGTCACCTTTCTTTGACTTAAAACGTCATAGTAAGGTCTAAAAAAAATTCTGGGCTGATTTTCTCCGTTTTTTTTTTTTGAACAGCTCGATCATAAATGGACGAACAGGACCTTAGTTTGAACTTAATAACTCATGCCCTGAGATGACCTAGGACCTTATTTTTTACGAGTTACGTGAAATTTTCCTACCTGCTTTAACCCGGCCGGGCCCGGGGGTAATCCCAACCACCGCAGCCCGGGGGGGGGGGGGCGTTTTTCGCCCCCCCTGTCTAACTCCGTAAATAAGGGAGCTACGGAAACAAAAGCGATACAAAACGAAAGGTCCTTACGAGACGATTCTAAAGCACCTAAAATTTTTGACCTCAGGTCAATTTTCAAGGTCAGAGGTCAAGGTCAAAGGCAAAAACCGGCACATGTGTAGTGATCTCAAAGTAAGCCTTCTAGAGGATGGCAGGATGCATCAAACCGGCAAAATTGGGTATCAAACGAAAGAAGAGAATCTGAGGATTCCGAATATGTGCTCAAAATCAAAGGTCAAGGTCAAGGTCACGCTCACAATTGACCTCAAACTTTGCACTTTTTCGTACATCTTGCGTGCTAACTTCCAAGATGTTTTGAAATGTTTGGAGGCTTATCAGTTCCCTATTTGTGGTTCATCTTACGATACAAGGCTGCTCAAAGGTCAAGGTCACAGAAGAGTATCCTTGCTAGAGGCTATTTCACTAATTCAAGTTAGTAATAATAAATAAGACAGTTTTGCCATCCGGAAGCTCTAAATGAAGACTTAGAAGAAAATGGATGCCAGATTCGTGATCAGCGGGTACAAATCCATCATAAACGACCTTTCATGTGTCAAGGTCACCCAAAGGTCATTCGAGGTCACATGAGGTCAACATAAAATTTGACCTTTTCCAAACAAAATATATATCATTCGACGCGGCTTGACACGGCGAATGCGATGGTACCACTGCCGTAGCTCTAGGACCATTTTTGTCGAAGTTATTTGCGAAAAACTAAAACCACATTTCGGGGTCGTTGACCTGACCTCTGACCTCAGGTCACCAAAACTATTTTTCTATTTTTCTCTACGTCAAACGCTACACAACCGTGCTCGTAATTTGTCTTTATCTCTAAAACTCTATTTTAAGCAGCTATTTGAAGTTCGCGTCTGTGACGCCGAAGTTTGCCTTGCAGGGGTCTAGAAAAATCGACCTTTGACGTCATCAAGGGGGCTAGGTCAAAAATATTTACTTCAGAAGATGTCAAATTGATGGGAGAAAAGGTACTGAAAGTTTCGCTTTCCTATCCCTAAGCGTTCGGGAGCTATCGCAAATATTCGCCAGGGGGGGGCGAAAAACGCCCCCCCCCGGGCCCGCGAGGGTTAATGTTTCCTTATCTTTCAAAGCCGAGCCGCCAATAGGCTATCGTAACACAAACAGGTCTTCCAAACGTCCAACCGCTGACGAATTAATTCAATGAGCCTACCGGAGAATAGAAGGCAGGTCCGGCGAGGAAGCCATCGCTCCACTTTATATCGAGCGCATCCTGCAGCTCGAGCTGCTTGGGGGCCACCGTGTGCAGGAAGCGGCGGTACAGGTTGGTCAGCACGCCGGCCAGCTGCGGCGTCGACGGGACGCCCGGCTGCGGCTCGGCGGCCACCAGCGCACACACGCAGACAAACAGAAGCAGCTTCATGGCGGCGGCGGTGTTCGAGAGGACGCAGGCGAGGGGGGTTATATACCGGCACCGGGCCGCGCCGGTACCCGCGGCACACAATGCCCGGCCCGCCGGCAGTCCGGGCTGACGTCACACGGGCTGAGGTCCATCATTGGTCGCCTTAGACTGATTTAAAGGTTACGGGTGACTCGAACGTGTGTTTGTGGTGGTGCATACCGCAGTACCTGTTTATTGTTCAACAGTTGAGCTCTAAACGGATGCATGCTAGCATAGCTACACTAGAACATTAGCTCAATTGTTCACATCCACAGCATTCTTCATTCGATATAAACGTTGTTCACAACTTTGTTCTAATTTATCAAGTAACGGTAATCCCTCAGTTTGCCAGCACCAGTAAAGTGAAGCCAATATTCTATTTGAGCATGTGTGCTAGCCATCCCTTTTACATAGCCTATAGCAACGTAACAGCAGTGTATCACAGACAGAACATGACGGCACGGCGCGGTATTTATCCGACTGGTAGCGTCTCCGAGTGTCCCGTGTTTGTTTGTGGCAGAGCAGAGGTCTGGTGTGTGTCACCAGGCTGCGGAGGGGCCCGCGACAGGATACACATACCTACACAACCTCCGCCTGGCGACACGACTGCAAACTGAACTACAGGCCGGGACTGTGTGGATATGTGTTTTATTATTACTATCATTGTTCGATTTTAGCTTTTCACAGAAACCTGAGATTGATTTATTCGTTTTTTTTTTTTTGTTACACACAACACCAACACAATACATCAGTTGACAGATGACTGAGTGAGTGTGTCAATCTACGCATGACTGGGGTATCTCTACAACATGAATGATTAGGGAGGGAGGGGAGGGAGAGGGGCTCTGCATATATCCCATCGGTCCGTCCGAGTTCAAAATTCAAAAGCTAATTTTGGAGATACAATTATTTGTCGTCCGTGCCGTCTGAAGGCATTTTCAGCTGTTGCATGCGAATGAAAGGCTTCAGGGAAAAACGTGAAATTTCACAGGGAAATAGGTCACTTTTAACCCTCGCCCATGTAGGGGGGTTGGTGCAACCCCCCCCCCCTCCCTGAGGTTTTTCTTAGCTACACGCCGAACCGTTTCAGATAGCCTGCTCAAATTTTCAGTACCCTTTGGGGCATCCTTTGCGCAAGTTTTGGTAATTTTTTTCTTGTCAAGGTCATGTCAGATCACGGAGTTATGACGTCATAAAGGGAACAACCTCCGGCCAGATTTACGCTAAATTGGAGATTGCTTCACATTGGTATAAATGCCGACTGACCTGACACACGGATGGATTGTTTTAGAATCACAACTGGCTGATTTGACATTAGCACAATGTCCGTTGACATTTTTAATGTTACTAAAGGTCAAGGTAAGGTCAGTGACCTCGGTTGACCTGTAATGACTTCTTGCACTTGTATGCCTTTTCGGGGTATTTTGATGCCCTGAATTCGAATTTGCTATCCATTTCAGGCATCGTCGGCTGTTTCTTGTAGTTCATTTTGGGTCAGGGTCAGGTCAGTGACGTCACACGCCTGACGTGACCCAATGCACAAATGACCTTGCAGACTTCCGATGCTCCCAACGCATCATTTTTAGAGTTATGACATCAAAATATATACCAAACGATAGAGAATTGATCAAGGATCACGATAGTGAAGGTTTTAAGTCGATATCTCTTACCGTTTTGCCGCAATCGGCGCGGAAATCTGAAAAAGTTAGATTTTTCCGAAAATTTGACCTTTGACCGGTCATAAGTAGGTCAAATGTTGACCTAGGACCAAAAATATACCACCAATCGCGAGATCTCGTTGAGAGCAATCCGTTGGTCTTTTCCGCTAAGCTCTACGACGCTCCCAGGGGGGGGGGCAAATCTTGCATACCCTCTAAAGCAGCCTTTTGATACCTTCCCTGAAAATTTCAGGTCTCTGCCGTTTCAGGTCAGGTCACCAGGTCACCAAAACCGGTACAATGTCACGGTAAAGTTGGACTATATTAGCGGCAACAGAATCGCTGAGTTTATCGTTTGTAGCGTAAGAACCGTAAGACTTAGCGCCACCAAACTCCAGACACAACTTGGGGCAGCCCTTTGAAGTGTGACCTGGGAGTTTTGTGTTCCAATAACGTCAGGTCAGGTCACAAAGTCACAAAAACCGGTTAATGGTCAAAATGGTATTGAAAATACGTCATTTTGTCAATGAAATATAGAGTTGTTCATCGATTTGATTCAAACTGGCAGGATATGCTAAGCTTTCCGAGTTGTACAGGGTGTCCGGAAATTGATTGCGCACTCTTCTAGTCCACTTTACAAGGAAAGAAACCATGCATGGGTCATGGTTTATTTACAGATATACCCTCCACCCAATCGCACACATTCCCTCATACGGTCGGGCATGCCACACATCAGGTTATACAGTGTCTCTGCACTAATGCTGAGCCACGCTCGCTGGAGGTTCCTGATATGCGCCTGCTCGGTGGTAGCCGGCTCCATCATGTCGAGCTCGCTCTGCACGATAGCCCACACGTTCTCGATGGGCGACAGGTCATGGGGCTGTTGCCCGGCCATACTCCCCTCTCCCAAAACCTTCGGAGGTTGTCCTAGCACCACCGTTGAGTGCTGGTGGCGTGATGAGCTGAAGCACCGTCTTGCTGGAAGATCGCCTCGGACATCTTCGGCACATCTTCGGGAGCAGCTCGACCTGTGTTGGCGCCCCCGTCATCAAGGATTTCCAAGTTCGGGTGACCTGAGGTCATCTAGACTCCCCGTGACGAGTTGCATCGAATCAATACCCACTTATGCAAAACTATCAACTTTGAAATTTGACCTTTTTTCCTGATCGTGACCTAACCTCCACCAGAAAGTGACCTAAACCGTACCTGATAGTCTTATGACCAACACCATTGAGTTAGAAATGAAAAATTGGCCATAAAACTTGCATCGCAGAACCTTAGTAACGTTGGGTTCATGTGCTGACCCTTGGTGACCTGACCTGTGACCTGACCTGGTATTATCAGTGACTCTACTAGCAACATATGTACTAGGCAACTGACGCCCTATCGCTGATTTTCGACAAAATGCGTTTTATTCGGTGTTATAGCCAGGGATGCGGAGCCGTGGAAATTTCAGACGGCTCCGGCTCCGGCTCCGGCTCCGGAGAAAAAAATCGGCTCCGGCTCCGGCTCCGGCTCCGGGTGAAATGTCATGGCGGCTCCGGCTCCGGCTCCGAGTAAAATGGTCCGGCTCCGGCGGCTCCGACTCCGGCTCCGGCTCCAGCACTCAGTACATCGTCTATATAATTAAATACGGGTGGAAGAAAAGACGAAGGGATTGGTTCACGTTGCTTCTGTATTTGCATAACAAGGCTATTTTGAATACCACATGTTTTACTGCCTTGTTTGTACTGTCAAACCGAACTAGGTCGATATTTTTTTCCTCTTCAAAAAAGGAGCCGGAGTCGCTGCGTTTTTGACATCTCCGGCTCCGGTCCCGGCTCCAGGCTATATTGTTTCACGGCTCCGGCTCCGGCTCCGGCTCCGGGCAAAATATGCCGGCTCCGGCGGCTCCGGCTCCAGCTCCGGCTCCGGCTCCGCACCCCTGGTTATAGCGCATTCCCTAGAAGACCCGTGAACGGTGAAACATTTTATCTTAGACCTGACCTGTGACGTCATTGGTTACCCCGAGGTCAATGAAATTTGGTTTCCTTCAACAAATCTGACAGGGCTATCGAACACCGTCTGAATTTTACGGATCCGTTCCGTAGTTTCTGAGATACGGGGGGGATCAAAAAATGCCCCCCCCCCGCGCGGATGGTGGCCAGGAGGCCCACCGCCTGCCGGGGTAACGCTCCGGCTGCTCAGAGAGCTGTGAGTGGCTACAATGCCGTGCTGGTGTAACCTGCTCTGGCCGCTGGCGGTAGCAGTCTGTGTGTGTGTGTGGGGGGGGGGGATGCAGTCGCCGTCCAGCCATCCTGAGCAGCTGTCCCAGGCAGCTGGCGTCCTAGCAGCTGCCGCAGCAGCTGGTCCCCCAGCGGCAGCTGATAGTGCAGGAGGCACTCGGCATCACGTGGAAGGAGGGCTCCTGATTGGAGACGCCTCCCGGGCCCCGGTAGTAGGCGCAGATCGCCTCGATGGCGTACTGGTACCTCACATCATATGACAAATGATATGTTTTGAATGTGGCACACCATATGTGAAGTAAGCAGGGGACGGTTTGCGGTGAAAGGGTGTGCTGCCATATCCAACACTATCGAAAGTCAAGGTAGAGGTGGTTTTGGCATGAAATTAATATGCTTTTAAAATTCAAAGGCAAAAAAAAAAAAGATAAAGAAGGGGCATTTCATTTCTCACCAGAACAATGATCTAACATTTTTACAAGAGAAATTGTTAGTTAATGATGTTGACATCGACCATGCCTCTGAAGTCATTTAAGTATTCCATATAGCTACCCAAGTTCCCATATCCAGAGATTTGCATAACATCACTTTAACCCGCGCCCTGCTGGGGGTCCTGGATTTCCACGCCCTGCTGGGGGGGTGTTTGAACACCCCCCCCCTTCTAACTCGGCTCCTGGGCCACGTAGCGATACGCGGAAGGCGGCGTTCGAAAGAGCGTCAAAAATAATGACGAAATCACTTCGGTCAATTTTTTTGTCAGGTCAAAGGTCAGGTCACCAGAGGTCATTGAAGGCAAAATTTCGCCGATTTCCAGGTCGAATGTCGACAATTTCCAAGAAGCCAACACATAACTCGGGAACCAATAGAACTATAGCGCCGCGGAAAAGCGCATTCGATAGCCCTATTAACGCCCTTTCTGAGTAATTTTCTCATATTTGACCTAACGTCAACGGTTTTGCCTGCAGGGGACAAAAACTGCAAAAATAGCCGATTTTTTTCGGAAACAGTTTTTCTGCAATAACTTTTGACCCAAGCATAGTACGAGCTTACTTTTACCGGCATCGTGTTCCTCTCGTCAAGACGCATCGACTGAACTATAACTTGACCTTGAAAGGTCAGCTTGAAAATTTGACCTCAGGTCAAGGTCATGACCTGACCGGAAAGGGTTATGTTGCATATCAGTCGATCCGTA